AGATCTGATCCTTGATATGCAACCCTCACAAATCCTACTGATGCTTCTCCAAGGTGCAGCTCACAGCCTCCTTCCAGCTGGACCTGAAACGGATCTGGAAAGAGAGGTTGTGAGATACAGGAATAGAGAAGGGAAAGTGTTGACATGAGGTGAGTGGAAGCCATGGACGGAAGAAGGAGAAGTTGAGGGTATTGGAAGGAATCAAGCAAAGTGTGCTTTGAGTGAAGGCTCAGAGAGAGGGGAAGTGGTGGTCACTGGAGGCAGAGGAGGAGGTGAATGCGGAAGAAACAAATGTTGGAGAAGTGACTGGAAGGGTGTGGGCAGAGAACAGGGAAGGCCTCCACTGGAGAGCTTGGATAAAATCATCTAGGGTGAGAAGAGAGAAGTGGATACAAGGAACACATAGACAGAGGTCATTGAGGGGACTGAACAGGGAGAAAAGCACATTTCAAGGATCAGTCACAGAGTGAGGGAGAGGAGGATGTCTGGCTGCAGGCCAGGGAATGGGGTGGTCACTGCAGACATTACTAGAGGCCTCAGAGCACAGCCTGAGGTCAACGAGAGGAGGGGAAGGAGCAGAAGACATAAAGCTTTTCGAGAATCAGGGTCTGGCTTCTGCCCCGTGAACAGAGGGGTGTGATTCAGTTTTACGATGGGGAGTCGAGAGGTTCAGTAGCCAGTGGAGGGTCTACCCAGGAGGAAGAAGGAACTCAAGGTTACACACACACCGACCACCTCCATCCCACCTGCCCTGAGGGACCTGAACTCACATTCAAGCTGCCATTGACTGACATGGTCCTGAAATACCTGAAGAAATCTAATGGAGTATGAATGGAATAACTTTTCCAGTTCCACGAAATGCTCGTTGCTAAAGTTGCCCCTGGACCAAGGCCGCAGGAAAATGAAAGCTCCGGTCTTGCTGTCCCAGCCATGAGTCTGCAGCTGTCCCAGCCAAGCTGAACCCTGATTTTGTGTCCGGGCACGGTTGTAAAAAGATGCGGTCAGGATGATTCGAAAAGTTTTTGGCTCCTGGAAGTCTGTGCCAGAAGAACAGACAGACTGAGGAAGAGGAGGGCAGAGGGAAGGAGAGAGAATCAGCAAAAGGGGCCAGGGAGGGGCACCGAAATCTGGAGGACAGGGAGCCATAGTTCCCTCTGGAGACGCGTGCTGCCCCAGAGCCCCGAGCTTGGCACCCATCATTCAGAGGAGCACAAGGCCCTGGGGTCGGGGATGCTCAGGGAGGAACCAGGTGGACATGCCTCACTCCCCAGGGATGTGCTGGGGAACCCACACCATGTGTGCACACGCGCACAGACACCGATGCACACACGTACACACACACTCAGAGTTACACGTGATATGCACACACATAGACACAGACGCAAACACAGACATACAGACACCCACCCACACACGTGCACACACGGCAGAAACACACAGAGGTACACACACAGGCACCTATACACACATACTCATACACATATACACACATGCACACATGTACACAACAACATATGTGCACACATGACACACATCACACAAATGTAGATAAACACTCTTGCACCGACCAGGCAGGGCCACATCCTCACCATCGTCACTGTCACCACCTGGGAAGAGAACCGTGAGCAAGACCAGTTGCAACAACAGCATCTTTTTGCAGATGTTCTTTCTTTCTCTCGGAAAGTGGGTCTTTGGCGTCTGTTCTCACAAACCTCCCCACACGCAGCCCCTCTCTTCTGACTTCCTTCTCAACACACCCGCCTTCCCTGAGTCTCCGCGACAATGCAAATGGGCTCCGCCCTCAACCCTGGACACCTACTCAGACTCTCACTTCCCCTCTGGGTCTGACCCTCCTCTCTGGCTTCCAGCTTCCCCCTGTCACCAGCCTCCGTCGTGCTCCCTGAGGCCCAGATTCAGGCCCTGTTCAGGCTGGGGAACAAGTCTCGTGTGGCATGGAAAAGGGACCTTACCTCTCATGCCTTTTCTCCTCGTCCAGACAGTAACCCATGAAGACACACGGCTCCCCAGCACCCAGCCCTGGCCCCTGCTGTCACCTTCTCGTGACCTTGGGACACCCCACAAGGGCTTCCGTCCATGTCTCACCCCCACCCCAACCCATTCCCATCTATGCCTTCTCACTGTCTGCATTAAAATTCAAAATCAACCAGATAAATTTGAAGGTCACCTTCTTTTAATTGAGGAAAGGGGTTTAATCATGCAGATGACCTCCTCTCTTGGGGGATGGAGAGGGTCCATGTGAGAGAGGACCTCACTTGTGATGAACAGAGAATTCCTCAATGACGGGGGAAGACTTACATTTCTGGGGGAGGTTGGAATGCACTTAGGTTAGGTTAAACAAGGTTTGGGGAGTTGGCCTGCCCAAGGCCCCATTTTGAGTCCATGGGTTTCTTTTAACACTTACTCTATTTCCAAATTTCGCCATGATTGCCTGTGTAACAGTATCAACAACCACCAGTTCACCATTATTTTTAGGGGAGAATCAGTTGCCATCAGAGAGACCACAGGGTATTGAAACATCTGAAGAATACCCCCTCAGTCGGACTTGCATTAATGTATATTCACTCACCAAACCGTCGCTTAACAGCTTCCTGGATCCAAGCACCTCGCTACACGCATGACAATACAGTGTTCACAATGCAACCAGTATTCAAGGAGCTTTTAGTCTACTTGGGAAGAAAATCACGTCAACCAAGAACTAACCATTTTGGTGTGCTGAGTTTTCTTTTAATGTGCAGACCATAGACTCTAACAAACCTGCCTGAAACAATATTTACTAAAGTGGTGACCTTTACAGGTGTTTGCCCTCTCAGAATCTTGACTCAGTGGTTGGCTCAGGTGTTTCGAATCCCCTGGAACCGGATCCCAAATCCAACAGGGCCTGGCAAGTGGTAGGCGCTCGATGATTAACTCTAAGTGATTGAATAATTCAGTTCAGGCATCAAATTATTCTTAAAGGTTATGGATTTCTTTGGCATAAAAATGTTTTTAGTATCCAAAAGTATTAGTTGTAATCCTACTTGATGAAATCTGAATCTACACAGGTATCTTTTGGAGTCAAGCATATGCTAATAACCATGAAGTTCACACCGAGGGTCCTACGGCAAATCTACAACAAGAAATCATGGGAATTTATAGTGTGTGGACTTAATAGAGTGTTCTGGAATCATGTATCCAGATTCCTTTCCTACTATTCCTGCTAGAATGTTCCATGCTTGTCTTATCATGAGTTGGCCGTGCTGGACATGCTGACCTTCTACTTCCGTGGTGTTCTTAAGTGTTTAAAAGCCCTTAAGTATTTGTGCTTTATGTCATCTGGATAATGTGTTTGGGCTATTTGTCTTGTTATTTCTTGGATGACCAGTAAACTGAAATAAACTCAGGCTGTTGAGAGAAAGATAATATTTTTGGCAAGTTCAGACTGGAACATAGAAAATTGGAAAGAGCTCACTCCCACACATAAGATTTTGAAAAGCTGGATCGCCCAAATCGCTTCTCTGGAATCCATCAAAGTTGAAGGGTGAGAGCAAGTTGTCAACCCAAAAATCTAGGGAAATACAGACTCCTCCAAGGAAATCAGGGATTCAGATGCCAGAGGCTTTATAAACCAGAATGAATAATTCAGCTACAATTGTTAACAAATGACTGAAGGCTCATTGAGGACTGGGAGGCCCTGAGAGTCACAGACTTAGCAAATTTGATATGTCTCTAGGCTTTTGCCCATTGGCTTCCCAGGGTCCTGACAAACTGAAGTCCAGGATTCAGACCAGAGAACTGCTTTCTGGTGGTACAAGCCTGGGGTCTGACAGCAGCTCCCTCCTGAGAAGGGCGGGAAGGCCACCATCCCCCACACAGAAAGGAGCCTTCACTGGGTGTGGGAAGGGCAGGGAGCCCCACTACCTCAGGGCACAGTGAGCCACTCTGCAGCTAGGGTGAGGGGCAGTGGGGGAAGGGACAGGAACACACCTTGTCCCAGACTAAGAGGCTCCATCTTCTGAGCAAAGGGGGAACTCTCGGAAGGCCCAGTCCCCAAACTGAAACACGAAGCACCTGGCTGAGGAGGGGACTGGACCAGAGCAGAGGTAGCGTCCCCCTCTCTATCTGAAGCAGACCAGCCAGCAGGGAACCAAGGGCAGCTCCTGCTGGTGGGGGTTCAAGACGATGAAGATACATGCCCTTGAGCCACATCCTGTTAGAAAAAGAAAATCGCAGACCCAAAATGATGTCATCAGCTGAGTTCCCTCCCTGGGACTTCATACCCAATTGAACAAACTACAACCACCCAGAAATGTAGCCTTACCCAGTCATCACCAGCAAATTTTTCTTTCCACTGAGCAATGAGTCTGTCACCTGGTTTCTCTCCAGCCCCCGAAGACAGATGAGGTCACATGCATGATAAGAGCCCTTTCTCTTCCCCCAAGAAAGAGGCCTGATTCCTGGAACAATCCTTCACATTTGCTGCTATCTCCCCGGCCCCACCCTCCCTCTGTACAAACCTTCCATTTGTACAACTTCTCCAAGTGCCTACCTGAGGGCCACATGGGGTGATGTGTGATTCATGGATCATTTAATAAAGCAATTATTGCTGAAATCTATGAGGTTAAATTTTCTTATTTACCAATTCTAAAGTTTGCTCTGAATGATTAAATGTACATATCAAAAAAAAAAAAAAAGCTTGGAGGACAAGATTATGTGTTATGTCTTAAACACCTGTACACACAGCTGCCTCTCATACATTTTAGAACCAGTCTTAGAGAACATGTTTACCATACAAATAGGAAAAGCTGACTAAGTCATGAATGAATGAATGAATGAATAACAGAATGTACGAATGAATGAATGAATGAATGAGTGAATGAATGAATACATGTGTTGGGAAGAAATCCATGGAAAATTTCTCGCATTTTGAGTATTTAATGCCATTGCCACGACAGCTCCTGGTTCATGAAGGCTGGTGCAGCTTACCCTTCCATCTCTAGGAAAACCCTGGAGAAAATTTTTACCACGTATCCAGCAGCTGAACCAGCACTCGATTCCTGATCAGCGGTTTGTTAGAAACCCACGAAAACACCCAGGATAGGGATTGATCCAGATGTCAGTGTCAATAAGACAGGGTAAGAGTGTGACAGGTGAGGACACGTGAAGAAAAAGGCAAGCAGGCAAGAAAAAGAATAGAGGAATATTTTCAAGAATTGAAGGCAAGGAAGAGAAGAGTGAGGAAGAACACTGCAAGGAAGAGAGATATTATCCCAGCATCCCCAGGGGCCACGTCCACATCCATCAGAGGGAGCACCCAATCACAAAGGACAGAAATCCACCTTTGTGGGCTGAAACCATACAGGAAATGAATGGGCTGATGGAACCGGGGATCCCAGGGTTATTGGGGCTCCAGTCCATTCTGCGGGTTTGTGCGTCTGCCTTCACTTTTGTGATGCTTTGGTTTTGTTGTTGCTACTGTTTTCTGCTTCACGGGAATATGATGACAAATGAAAATTGTACCTTTGTACAGAGTGCAGTTTTCTAGCCCCTGAGGAAGGACGGCTAGGAGGCCCCACGGGCCACATGGGCCTTCGCCAGCTCTGGCTGGTGCAGCAGAGCCTGTGATGTGACATGAACAAAGGTCCTCCTGATGAAAGTCTTCCAACAGCTTCTCC